GATAAATCTGGGTTATATAAACTGAAGAACTTGCTGGAAAAATAAGCTTACGTTCCTAGGACCCCCAAAAAGCCAAACGACTTTATTTTAGACACCCATATCTTACAAAAATAGAAATGATAATGTTGTTTTTGTTGCTTAACCCTTTGACTGTTTCGGCCGTATATATACGTCTTACGAGCCAGTGTTTGGAAATGTATGTATATACTCAATAATTCTAGCGGCTTCAAAGCAAGCAGGAGAAAGCTGGTAGACCCACATGTGAGAGAGTGGGTCTGTGTGGTCAGTGTGCACTGTATAAAAAAAATCCTGCAGCACGCACTGCATAATGAGGAAAAAAAACTCCGACCTTGTTTTTGGATTAAAATGCTGACTTTGAGGTGTATTTTCGTATAGTATTTATGGTTGTATTCTCGTTTTCTTGTTCTCATTTGATAGAATGGACAACATATTACAGAAGCAGAGATGATTTTGATTAGTTTCACAATGAAAACGACCTTGAGATTGAGCTCAAAATAGCAGAACTGTTCGAGTTTTACCGTTGTTCAAGAGTAAGCAAGCCGCACCACACGTCCAGTACATATGAACTGGGGAGTCTAATATTCTTTCACTAGTGCACTGATATTATTTATACCATTTTTACAATAATGCAGTAGTCTGCATAACAGTAAATCTTCTATTTTTTGTGTGAATAAAAAATAAAAATAGAAAGCAAGAGTAATATAAGAGGGGCCTGGAGTCATGACTAATGAACAGAGGATATGTTACTTTAGTGCCAAGAATGTCTGCATTGTTTATTCTGGATCCTATTTTGAAATTGGCATCTTTTTTACTTTGCGTGAAATTGGCCATATTGCCCATTTCTGACCACTTCATTGGGTAGTTGAAATCGGTAAATGGGCAGTTTCTTGTACTCATTTGATAGAAAAAATGGAGTTCTAAAGAAATAGCTATGTGTTTGGTCACCTGGAACAATGGAATTGGCCAAAAATAGGGTTCAAAATCAGCAAAATCACCTATGAAATATATGACTCACGAAATCGTAATGACACGATTGCAAACAAACCATACCCCGGCTGGGATTGAACCCACGGTCAGAGAGTCTCCAAACTCCAGCCCATCGCGTTAGCCACTAGACCAGCTAGCCACAAAAAGATTCGTCCAACTAGGCGTATTTCTACACCATAGGAAGGTTAGCACAGGCACCACTGTGACTAGTGGCTAACGCGACGGGCTGGAGTTTTGAGACTCTCTGACCGCGGGTTCAATCCCGGCCGGGGTATGGTTTATGAGTATATATCGCCGCGATTGCTAACTTCACGGGACCATAATTCCGTAAGTTTTCGATCAAATTTCGTACTTTTGGTGTCATTACCATCGGGACAATATTTTCTATCATTTCGTAAGAAAAAAATCATTTTTTTTTTTTTTTTTTTTCAAAAATTTTTTGACATAGAATAACAGTTTCAGAAATTGGCTTGCGACAGTCAAAGGGTTAAAACTACAAAGGCAATTGAAAACTGAAATAATATTATTTACCTTAAATTGTAGTTGCTGGTGTATATCAATGATTGTGAAGAAAGTAGAGATGCATGGTGTGGCCCTACTTGGCTGAGGTGGATGGTTGTTGGTTATCGGCAGAAGTGGGTGGTTGAGGTTCTGGTACTAAAGTCGATAGTTGTATTGGAGTGTGTGTAGATTCTGTAATGGATCTCTGGCTTCTTTTACCCTGCAGTACATTATACAGCTGAAAGTAAGGTATCATCAGCTGCTCTAGACCCCATTTCACAGCACTGGTCCTAGATTTGTCAGGGTCCTCTTCAGTGAAAAAGTCTGCTAGTTTAACAACAACATGTAACTGCTGTAGTGTTATCTGTTTCTTCAGGTCCTTCTTCATCATCATCATCTGTTATCTGGCAACATTTTCTCTGGATTCCTGTCTTCATCATCATCTAAGAGCTCATTGACATCATCTTCCTTCATATCTCCAAAGCCATCACCTGGTAATCTCCTGACTCAAGCAAGGGAAAACCAATGAAGGAGTTAACTACAGAAGGCCATAACTTTCCCCAGCCAGCATTTAATGTTGGTTGGGGCACTTCATTCCATGCACTTCTAGCATAGCTGATGACATCTGCAATGTTATGGGAGGGGCAAGTGAAATCTGCAATTTTTTTTTTTTTTTGTCAGATTTCAATGAGATTTTGACAGTGGATTAACCCTTTGACTGTTTCAGTCATATATATACATCTTACGAGCCATTGTGTTTGATGTATTAATACGCCAAAATTCTAGTGGCTTCAAATCAAGCAGAAGAAAGCTGGTATGCCCACATGTGAGAGAATGGGTCTTCATGGTCAGTGTGTGCCATATAAAAAAATTCGGGGAGCCAGTGGTGCATCGTGGGAATGCAATTTCAGTAGTCCTTGTTCAGCATGCATAGCGGTAAGAAATGTGACTCCCTGGGAAATTTGGGACTCTTCGGCCATCTCCCATCGAG